TTAATCAAGTTAGAGCCACTCAAAGTTCTTATTTGACTAGTTTAAATTTGTGGACACCCTGTATAACATGGTAAGTTTATTATCATAGGGATATAAAATATTATATCTTGTCACGCTTCACTATAAATTACGCTTACATAACTTAAATACTTCTAAAGTATTTGACACGTGAAAATTAGATTAGATTTTGATTAAATCCGTATTGTTTAAAAAACCTTAAGACTTAGGTATTATAAACCTTATTAAAACAGACACTTATTTTGTTCAGCGAATCCAAAAATGCAATAATATACAGGACATTCCATTAAAAAAAACGTAACTTTGATACTTTTAGAGCTTTTGGGACACCCTGTACATTACAAAAATATTTTTTAAATGTGCGCTCGGTAGGCGTCGGACAATTCATAAAATAACACTTTTTAAAAATCAAACGGTTTAGCCGCAAACTTCCGTGCCGTATAACGTAAATAACCCTGAATGTAAGAAATCTTGGTAATTTTCAGTGTACATGGTGTCCCGGTTTGCAGCAATGCTCGACCGGACTGGATCGCAATCGTCAATTTTGGTTGGACAAAGACTGCGAAAATAAGAACGTATCATCGGTAGATAGTTGTTCGCTTATTGAGAAATCTAAGCCAAGTCAAATCGAGCCCGCAAAACATTTGGAAGTGGATTACATTGGCACTGTTCCCAAAGAGGAGCCAATTGGAGCATCCGGTTACATGATCATTATATTTATAATTGCAGTAGTTGCAGGATGTGCAGTCTGGACCGGATATGCATACAAATATCCGCACACTGCCAGCGGTCAGATGTTGATTCGGGTACGTGCCTTTCTTCAGGTTCACTATAGAAGGACGGGAATCGACCGGTGCTTCCGATAGCGTCAAGTTTCTGGACCTCGGAACCGCACTTTTTTGCTTTCTAATTTTCATTTCATTCACTAGTTTGGCAACTGCCGCTCTTTGGAGAATGGTAGAGGTAAACATTGCTTGTCGCGTGTTGTCTTTACTCTGTGTTGTCCAGATTTTTACCTATATTGTTTCAATAGCGAATATAAAACGATTCCATTGCCAAAGCTATTAAACATAATTTAACCGCAAAATATTTGCGAATGAATTCGAATACTTGCAAACTAAAAATTTGAGCATTTTGCCGGTTTCAAAATAAGTGCAAGTGTCGAAAATGGGACACTGTTAATATATCTTATTATTGCACCGTAGTAAATGATGTATTTTGGCAAATTTCAGTATCGTCCGAGCCAATGGAGATGGAGGCGTGGGGAAGCCAGATATACAGCAGCTACCATTCACATGTGATAACAATCATCCCCTAAACTAGATAAGAATACCTCAAATCGTTCATTAATTAAATCGTAAGATATTCGTTTAAGGATAAATGAGCAGGGAATCAATTTTAAATTAACACTTTGGATTTTATGCGATGTTTTCTGGTGTTGCCTCAGGAATTCAACTGACAAACTATGTGCGTAACATTGAAGATTTTAGGATGTTTAAAATTTGAACCAAGCCAATGAAGGTTTTTAAGAGAGTCTGTATGTATTTTGGTATTAATACCAGTCCAGTTACCACGCATTTGTAAAGAATGCCTCTAGGACACAAGAGCGGCTACAAGAGCAGTTCTTATATTAAAAAACATATTTTTGCTTTTTTCACAGGACAGAAAAAATGTAAGATTTTAATAATTATTTACTTTTTACTCGAGAAAACCACATCTTAAAAAGATCAGTTTAAAAGTCTGAAATAATATATTTTTAGATTATGTACACTGTGATAAGTATTTTTATATTGCGTCCAAAATTCAAAGACATTTTAACTGCCTGTTAGAAATACGTGCAATGATGTCCATTGCAATCTAGAATCCGTGTAATTATTACATTGTTTAATATTTACCAAATAGTTTAGTGTACTTCGTGTATATGATTAGCAGCTTTTCGTGCGAAACTAAACTAGTTTCAATTATACGTAATGTTCAGTTTATAGTTGTGAACTTTGGGTTGTAAAATTGCACAGGCAATATTTTGTTAATGTGCCTCACACTGCTAGGCGAGTGGTGTAATCAAATTTGCGTATATTTTTATGTTAATGTTAGTAAGGAACTTTGTGACATAGTTAGTTTTTAATATTGTCAATTTAAGCAATAAGCGAGCAGCTAATCATCGATTTCTTAACAATAAGTAAACCGATTTTTACAGTTAGATGCTTCGGCAGTTTTATTTCGACTTCACATAATTATGCCATTAATTAATTTAATTGGGGACGTTGGTGAAATTGAATTTAACCATTCTTTTCACTCTAATCTTTAAAGGGAAAAGGATGGTAAGTACAGTCACTAAGAACACTTTGCGCGTTTTAAATGTAAGGAAAAACTTAAACTAGGTAATGAAAATCTAGTTATAAACCGTTTGTTTACGTGATGGGTTGCAAAGTGATTCATTGCAATAGGTAGTCACCATCATTCAAATAAAAACTAAAAGTTGAAACGTCTAGATCCGATTCTATGTTTCTAGAATTTACCATCCTGAATCCCCAGCACAAGAAATTTAACACCAACAATAACTTATAAATCAAAAACTGAACAATAACATTGGTTTTGAACGGAAATCTGAAAAAAAAATATTCCGGTAATTTACAAGTTGTCGGTCCGACCGCGCTCGATACTTAAAATGGCCCTACCGTATAGATGATCCTTTACTAACAAGTTTTCTGAGGAAAAATCCACTTTTCTCATTGGAATTCACCACTTTTCCATAAGAAAGTAAAAACGCCGTGACATCCACGTTGACACTGAAACGACACGGCGACATACTTCGAAAATTTTCGCGCATTTTCCAAACTCGCGTTTTTATCTATGAAGATAGCCACTAACCGATAAAATTAACCGCAGAAACTAACCACAGATAACCTCTGCGATCTGTAAAACTAACCACACTTAATTTTCAGTGCCAGTTCCATTAAAACCTTAAAAATGGGCACTTCTAATAAAATATTTAATATTTGCAAGCTATTCCGCAGCTTATCCGTATCAAGCACCAGCAAAATAATACCCATAGATCCATCTGCAATGTTTGCCAGGTAAGTTCATTGCTGAAGATTGTTTATATTCAAAGTTAAAGTGTTACTTTCAGGCCTATTTCCACATCCAGTCCTCGTAGGGACCTAATGGAATTTTTCGATGACAAAAAGAATTGGGGTGAACATGAAGTTAAATGTGGTAGGTCGTGGAAAGTTGAGGAAATGAGATTGAAATCAAACACCGATTTACATAAGCTTTGGTGAGTCCTTATGTACTTTTGGCATTGGGAAAGTCAACCAACTGTGAAACGATTCCGGATTATTTCAATTCCAACGATTAAATACTCACCTGATAACTCAAACGTTGTTCTACAATTAATCGATTAATTTTTTGATTGTTATGCAGGTATGTACTTTTAAAGGAAAGAAACATGTTATTGACGATGGAACAAGAGGCAGCGGAGCAGATAAAGCTCTTCCCAAACCCGGAGCGATTAGACAAAGTGGAGGAATCCATGGAAAACCTTGAAACAGTGGTAAGAGAGAGAAACAAAGCGTATCACGAGTTGGAGACCGGTGAAACTGGAGAGCGACCAGGAAAACTTGAGACAAATCCTCTAGGACTTAAAAGTTATCGCAAGTAAGTATTATAACAGGGTATTACACTTTTTTAAAACTGGAAATATATGTCTTGTAACAAGATATTGTTTGGCAAATGTAATTATTTTAACGGCACGCAAATATTTTTCACTTTAGTTGCGTTGTTAATTTGCAGACTGCGTGAATACTTCCTGCCAAAACATATGAATAAACACTGGCTAGAAAATGCTAAGACGTTAGAAAACTACACCGAAGTGAACCAGTTTCTTCTTAAGTACAGAGAGAAGATATATCTGGCCAAAAGGCGAGAAAGAGTGTAAGTTTCAAATTAATTATTTGTCACCATCACTATTAACGGATGTTGGTTTCAGACGAAACTTCAATCATGTTATTGGGCTTTTAAATCGGTTCCCGAATATGGACATGGAAGCGTTGAAGGAGAAATATCCAGATGTTGATATAGAAAAAGCTAAACGTAGTCGTAAATATGGTGGACACTTTGCCCCTAAGTAATAAATTGTTTTTTGATCTAGATTGGGAGTTTTTACTTTCAAACCATTAACCAATCGGCTTTACGCATACCAATTTTTTTTTATTTGGATTTGAGCAGTGAAAATTAATCAGAAATAAGCTCCTAAAAATTGTACCCACTTTCCATATTTAATCATCCGTTAAATCTTATTTCTGAACACCAGAGCGCAAATGAAACGAAACTGTCGTTCTATATAAGTTTCTATTCAGAATTTAGATGCCTAAACAATTCTACTATATTTTCCACATTAGCAAATGGTATTTAAGTAAATCATCGTGTTTCTATCAATATTAAATCTCATATAGTTTCTATAGTCAACTATTTCAAAAAGTGTTTTGGTTGATTATTCGGATTACGCAATTGCATAGATAATAGATACTATTTCGCTCAGCGACTAACTCTTGGAATCGGAGTGTCGATTCCAGTTTAATTGAACATAACGTAACGTATACTACGAACAATAATAATATACAGCGCATGTAGTGTTTATAACATCACGAGACATTAATCTAGCGCATTCCAAGAAGCATTTTACATTAATTGCCAAATATATAACGTCCAAACAAACTTAATCATTTTTAGCTCAGAATCTAAAAATGAAAAGCAAAACTTTGAAACCCGTTGCGTTTTAAATTTAGAGGGAAAATTAAGTTAATAAAGAATTGAAAAATAACATTGATATTAACCGGTAAAAAATAAATCAAATAACGCGTTTGCTTAGTGCCTACAATAACTTAAAATACAATTCTACTATAATTACTGTTATTTAAAACAATTCATATGCATTTAAGCTTGTATCGGCACCAGCCAACTGGACAGTAAAAATGTTTAACTATTTAAAATAAAATAAACCACTAAAAATGTAAAGGACGAAATTTTTTTACTCACTGACTGTGATGATTAAATATCCACTCGAATGTTGTATACCATACCCATATGCATATAAATAATTTTCCGTAACTACCATCATAATTTTGATTATAATAGTGCATTGTTTACATGTGTATCTAAGCGTTTAGAATATCTTATTTTATTCTACTTTATTGTATTCTTCCATTCCATTACAAAAGTATTCAATATCTATCACAATATCGGGTACTGGTGAACTTAAATATTAGAAGAAACGATCATGACTAGATTATGAATTAAACGAAGCAAAGCATTCAATAAATAGAGAGTAAAAAAACGTTAACAGAAATTTAATATCACGATATGTCGAGAAAAAGCGAAATTGTAAATGTTATTTCGCCCGCTCACTCTGAACGTTACACCCAAAATAGCTAAACTATGAATGCATTTTCCGACAACCCATTAAAATCGATGTAAAAATAAAGCATTTACTTAGAATAAAATGGTACAAAAATATAGGTAACTTTGGTGGAAAAGCATTCGCAAACTAAAATTCCTACTAACCAGGAAAAACAAATTAAGTTAAATTCACTTACATAAACTGTAGGTGAACAGTATTCGGGAGCCAATTATCAAACAGCAATCTGTACGTATCTATACACTTCTTACTTAGCGGATCGGTCTCTGGAATGGTGCTAAGCGGAAAACTGTCACCCTGTAAATAAATTAACAACCGAAACAATTAAGATTGATTTAAAGATTTGGAGGGCGCGTAAGAAAACCTCGATTGTAGTGCCAAACTATTCCAATTCGTATCAATTAACTTACATTTTCATTTCCATACTGCCACAGCATTTCCAACGTTGAAATAAACGTTTCCAGTTCAGAATTTGTGGAAAAGTAGATGATCCAGTCCCCGGTGTATTCGTGCACTTCCCTGCACGAAAACTCCTGAAATTTTCAAAGTCAACAAGCACAGAACTCCTTTAAACGAACAATCTTACCAAAACACACCAACTTTGTTCGGCAGAAGGCAGCCTGAAAGCAATCAGATCTGTTATTGCGGCACATGACAAAGCCTGCGGCCCTTTAATGGGCTCGTGCCTAGTTTTTGCGGGTAGTAACGAGTTGATTGAGCAAGGGAATGCTTCTCGAACAGTTAGAATATGATCACTGGTCATTAAAAGTGAACAGGATTGTGTGGCATTTTTATCTTTGTAATTATTGTAAATCTACAACAAATAAGAACGGGTAGTGGTGCAGTTAAAAAGCTGCTAAAGAATCTTACCCCACTAGCAGCATGAATTAATTCTTGCAACCACTCACTAGCAACATACTCATCGGGAGCAGCTAAAAGCAATGAATTACCCTCGACGATAAGTTGAAAAGTATGGGGTCTGTGGCTGTTGAATACTCGTCTAGCACCCTGACAAGCACCATTCATCAGCGGAAACACTCTCATTGGCACCCGCTGAGAAACCGACGACAACATGTAAAGTACTCCGGCCCTTGAAGAAAAATTTGCGGTGGTTTAAAGAGCAAATTAAAAACGAAGGAGCATACTTCAAGATAAAATAGGCGGTTTCCCATCGGTTAGAGTCGCGATCGGTTGATTTAAACATAAGGGGACCTTCCTTGCTTGGCCCAAGAGGTGTCGGACTTTCTTCACAGACAAAATCTTGTATATGTACAATACTGTAATAGTAATATTGCTCATCCTAGAACAAATCATAATTCCGTGGTAGTTTTCCCAACTCTCCAACTCTTATTTGGTATTGAGCCTGAATAAGCTGTGTATATAAAAACCCACCTTATTCACAGTAGTTTGCTTGCAAATGGCCCGTCTCAGATTCGTCATGTCTCTCATGCTCAAATGCTTTACAGCTGGTAGAGCAGGTTTATTTGCGTCTCTCCGCATGGCGATTTCTATTTGCCCGATTAAGTCGTTAGTTATCTTTGAGCAACCCGTGGTTAAAATACATTGCATGTCCGTGTCGTTGTTGGAAAAATGAACGGTCTGAGAATTGGGCCCAATTAAAATTGCATTCAAATCGGTGTAAGGCAGAACAAAATGGGTGCTGAATTCTGTGCTTTGTTTTGAGCTGACTACATAAATTGCTCTATTGGTCAGGACTAGTAGAAGCGGTTTACTGTCGCCGTTCGTCGTGTATGCACTGCGAATCGGAAAGATCTAGACAAAAAAAAATGCAAACATTCAAGTGTCCAGTATTTAGCAAAATTTACTCGCCTTTAATAGTTGTTCCAATTTATTTCGGAAAATTTGATTCCTCAATCTGATCGTTAACAATTGGTCTGGAGGTTCGGTAGTTTTTTGTTTCTCTCTTCCTGAAATCAGCTCTTGTTCAATCGCGCTGTCCAACTCGCAATTAGATGCAGGCTTCAGTTTCTCGCCCTTAGGGTACAACCCAATGTAACTTCTGGTACGCTTTAAATTCCCTTCCGCTTTAAAATCCATCAATTTCTTTAAGGTGACATTTTTCAAGAATCGGTTCAACAGCGACGATTTTGACGAAGATGGACGTAGATTCGGTAAGGACTTGGAGGTTTCCAGGCTGATTTCTGATGAACTATCATGCAGTGGAACCTATAAATGAACATCAACTTGCTATTAAGAAAAACGTTGTTTTGCGCGTCGCGTACCTTAAAAGGTGAAAGAGTGTAATGATTACTGCGGCGTGCTTTTCTCTTCGGCGAGTCAAGATGACGCGAATTCCGACACTCAGACATATCGGAAACAGTCTCATTGTCCGACCAGTCAAGTTTGCTGGATGATGCGTATTTGCTCAATGTGGACCTGGAAGTGCTGCAAGTTTTTAGATCCGATTCTGGCAACTCCACTTCGAAAACTTCCTCAATCTTAACTTCGGGTTTAGTCGGAGTGGATTGGTTGTTGATAATTTCAAAGTCATCAACCTCTACTTCAGCCTCTTCCTGGGCCTTCCTGGAAATCTCCAAAAACATGTTCACAGCATCCAAAGAAAAAAATTCGCAGCAAAGTTTACCTGCGGAAAAAGTTGAACTCTTTCAGGATCCTCTGATACATCATAGAGCTTTTGGGCTTCTGTTGCTTTTCAAAATTTTTCTGGAAGTTGTCGTATTCATACGAATAGCTGATGCCCTTGTGTTCGTAAACGTTGCTGTCGCAAAGGATGATGTTTTCCGGGATCTCTTGATTAGGATAGTTTGGGTAAAATCCTTCGCTTTTTGTGAGCTTCAAGTTGGTCTTGGCCAAATTAACCTGCAGGCCAGAATTTGGTGAAAACTCGCGATAAATATTAGCTAATGTCGTGAATTACCTTACTAACTGGTTCAGGCTTAACTTCTGCCACTTCTATAGTTTCTGCATTGGCAAAGGAGAAGTTTTCGAAAGACTTTCTTCTACTTGACAAGTTCTGTGAGCTCGAGTAAATGACTACATCTTCTTGGCCTTCAGGCACACCTAAGAAGTTGTAAAAATTGCGTCCAAATACCATTCAAATGCCTATAAAGCTCACCCCTTTCAGCCAAAGGAACTGAAGTGGAGAAGCTCAAAATGTTTTTCAAGCTGCCAAAAATGTTACTATCCAGCAAATTGCTTTCAGATTTTTTCTTCTTGAAGTCCACTCCCTCTTGGACAATTTTTGTATCAATGTATTTTTTGTGTTTGGTTTTCTTTAGACAGCTTGACTTGGGTTGCTTTTGAGTTGGCTCTTTCTTCTGAACATTTTCATCAGAGCCGCTGTCTTCTTCATCAATCGAGCTAGACGCACTGCCAGTAGAACTAGACGAACTAGAAGAATTTCTTGGATGGTGTATGTAAATATCGGATTTTATCTCTCGATTAGATCCCGGTTTTTCGTAATATGGAGCGTCGCCTTCCGCTGCCCAACTATACCTGAGATTCAATAAGCAAATGATGCAGATTGTACTGAAGTAAGTTTAAGCAAACACTCACCGTCCTTTGACCACATCGGGTTTTCGCACAAATCCACGTTGGAAAAAACTCAGTGAAACATCAGGCTCATGTGTAATGAACCCGAGATTTATATGAATGTCGTCAATTTTCGTACTATTCAAAATATCTTCATGAAACGAGACGCGCTTCTTTGGCGTATCGGATTTCGATTTTTTCTTCCTCTGTCGTCTAAAAACAATTTGCTCTTCAGTGGCTTTAGTTTCGGGATTTTCGATCACAGGCACTTCTTTGATTATTGGGGGAGGTGCCTCTTTGCCATCTAGAACGCCGAATATTCAACCGAACACATTAGATAAGTAAAAATTGTTATAAATACCTAAAACAACTTTAAGGTTTTCATTTACTTCCTCCGACATGCTTATGTGCATATCAACAGGATCGGAGTCAGCCACGGTTTTCAAGTTAGCATTTTGCAGCGTATAATCGAGCAATTCGTAACTGTTCAGAGAAATATTCATGAGATCGACCTCCGTGTTGGATTTTATTGGGTGCTCCATTTCAAACACTTCATCTGAAAGGCTTTTGCAGGAATCCAATCGACCATGCTTGTGCATGTTTTCTGATGAAAAATTATAAATGAAAACGCATTGAAGATATTTTTAGAAGAAACACACCTTTTTCGCTGAATTTGTCAAAATAATTGGGGACTGATCGAGACAATAACTTTTCATCCACGACATTTTTATTCACAAAATCACTTTCGGTGAACTGCTTAATAGCGATTCCTTTTCCAGCTCGTTTTTCCATTTTTTCCATCGCAAGTTTAGCGCAGCCTTGACCATTTTGCCCCGATGCACATTGGGCTTTTAAGTCAGTCCAAGTTTCAGATTCTTTAATTCTTGACGCAGCCAATGCTTCATCTTGCAATTGCTGGATATGCTTTTGGTCTTCCGTAAATGTGCTAGACGCAGTATCAGTTTCACAACCTGAAATATACTTTATCTAGGACAACATTCTGATGATTATCATGAGGAGAACAGGGTCTTTTACTACATATGCTTGATATAAAAACAAATTAACATGTTTGTAATAACAAGATATTCGCTGGAACTGGGGCAGATGTTTTCGACTGATGAAAGCGCGGTTCTAACAGCTTTTGTGCTCTGTAAAACACAAAGGGTTTTACGTTCCACGTATCTGCATGACACGTGAAGAGTTTTAAAACGAAATTCTTCGAAAATATTCATCAGTAACAAAAAGTTATTATTATTTCCGTCAAATTATTGACTGTGAAAGTTTCAAGTCGTCTTAGTTTTTGAAATATTCACAAAATTTAAAACAACTGCATTATTTCAACTCCAACTCTTTTTGCATTAAACATCTCCCGGATTCCTATCTTTTAAAGGCGACATGCAACAAGTTTGAAAAGGAGTTTGTGGAATTGGAAATTCGCCAAAAACATCGAGACTAAAATAAAAAACCTGCAACACTAAACGATCGATGTACAAGAGATGCAATGGACTCTTTCAATCAGAATATGTCGGCGTTTTGCCCCATTTGAAAAGATAATAAAATGCTTCCAAATGTAGATTTTCGCTATAATCGAATCGCTATAAAAACGAAAAGCAGAAAATCATTAAATTAAGAATTCTAAAGGATTGCAGACTGTTCAGAAAATTTTATATGCCCAGAAAAAAATATTTTTTAATATTATAACTAATTTTCCCCAAAACATTTGAGCTTGAAATATCTTAAAGAATAGATGGTTTAATAACATGAAGGAAAAATATAATAGTATCCACAAATACAAATTGTTTAGGGGTTTGTTGGGGCGAGCAACAGAAAAATGCTTGATTAAGATAAGACACAAAGATGTTTGTGCGATACCATAAAAATAAAGCCGGTTGCTCCGAGTGGTGCGTTAACGCACCATAAAAAACATACTACTTTTTTATACTAAATAAAGTTCTATACAGAAAAGAAATTTGATTTAAGTAGCCACTTTATGAAAGATTGAACATTTCCATAATATAATTTTGTTAATACTATTTGTTATATCTTATGTGCCCCAAAATACCATTTTATGATCCTTCCCAGTGGTTCGTTTTCGCACCAGTATTTTGTTCTGTTAATTTTTTTATTTTTCTTGACATGGATTTTGTCCTAAGACTGACAATAGATGGAAAAAGATCCTCTATATCGGCTGTTTATGTCTATTTATTTCAGAATAATAGTTTGAACAAACGATGTAAAAACTTCAACGCAAATCTTTGTGAGTTTATTCTGGACGTTAAGGTGGCAAAAATGATGTTTTGCTCTGCGTACAATATGAGCTACAAGCTGTATTGACCACAAGCTTTGTGTTTTCCTCTCGATAACTCAGCAGTTTTTAAAGTGCTTTTTGTTATAATTAATTGTGGCTTAGTTAAATTAATAATAGCGCAGTTACTGGACAGTAAAGTAAGTGCGGAAGATCGGGAAAATATGTATGATCCTTACCAGAAACATTGGACATAGCAGATGTAAGTTCACTTTCACTATCGAGCAACTGCACTCCTGAATCTACTGGAGATGCCAAACTGGATATAGTGGAAATGGTGCTTGATGTCATTTGCGTATCATAACTCTTTTTCGGGGCCTCCTCACTTTTCACGTAAATTTCCATGTTTTGCAGAGTCGTATCCGTCATAGTGATAGATGGCCTATAAATAATAACTCTCAAAAATAGATCTGAGAGCGCAATAATTACAAACAAAACGCACTCGTACAATACAGCTGCGGAATACTGCATTTTCAAAAACCTACTTTAACTGTTGACTTTTGAAAAAATGGCTTTACAAACACGCACACAAAGAGAAGAAACGCTTACCTTCTTCCACTAAGCTTTCAAAACAATTGTTACATCGTTATTTCATATTTTTTCTTGTAATTAAGGTGTAGGGAACGACTGGATTCTGCCACTTTGTCCCACAAATTTGGGTTATGCGCAAAATGTTTGACGTTTAATCATTGATCCACAACTGCAGGTCCGGCTTCAGGTACAAATTCATAATTTTGCAATTTGCACTAAATAATGTTTAAACGCTATCAGCGCTGATAGAATCAAGTAGATTGAGTGTGTTTCATAAAATATTGTTTCCAACTGTTTTGATATTGCAGAAAAATGAAATAGAATGTTTTGTATGTTCAGTTGCAAAAAGACAGGTCCGTGCTAAGCGTTCGAAACCTTTTTAAAAAATTCAGGAATTTGCGGCTAATACACTCTTACGACATTTTTTTCAAACGGGAGTCAAATTTATATTTACAATGCATATACCTTCCCGACTGTGTTTCAGTTCCAAATCGGGCAGAAATTCGAGTAGTTTTGACCCAGAATGCGAAATTTGAATATCCCGCTTCGGTGCAAGATTATGCCAAAATTCCATGTCTTCCGTCCCGTTTTTGCTCATTTCTTGGAGGCAAAATGAGCAAGAACGCTCGTTTTTACATCATTCTAGAGAGAAATGAATGACATTTTTAGAAAGTGAACCATGGATGGGGAAATGTTGGCAGTTTTTCCAAAAAATGCTTTAATTCAAGAAGTTTTAGATTTGCTTGGTTTTCTTGACAAAAATGCATGCCAAGGCTTAAAGCAGCAACAACGCTACACATAAAAGCTGATGATGGAGGAAAAATACACCGAAACGTATTTTGATTGATAAATAGAGACAATAAATGACTGAAACCCAGGAATGAATTTGATTTATATTTACAGCAAGTTCCATAATCATAATAATAAAGAATAATAATTTTGCATAAAATAACCGATAAGGTTGAAACTGAAAAATTAACTGGCAGGCTGAAAATACTAATTAATTAAATATACGCCCCAGAAACACACACAGAGACAAAAATAAATTGTTTAATTGCAAATCTCGAAGCATATCAGACAGTGAATCCTACTCTAATCGTAACTTAACAGTCTTTTTTACCTCTAATCTAGTAATCCGTCGGTATTTGTACAATATACAAAATGTGCACACTAGTCATGTTTTCACACTATAACTAACTCTGGCGCTTATTGATTAGAATCCACATAAAATTTCTCTCCATACCATTCCTTGTGATCGTTTAGAAAACTGAAATTCAGCCAATATTGAACCAGTTTCGAACAACTTATCGGGTACTTACTCAATAATGGCGTCAACATGCGGCAAAATCACCTTAATTTTCGCGTCCGGAATAGAGGATCTGGTAAAGAGCAGAGGTAACTGTACAAAGAGCCTTGCAAAGTGAATGGCTCCGTATACTAAGCAAGGTGGAGGTGGCTGCTGACTATAAACGGCATCAGGTAGTAAACGCCATGATAAAGCTTTGGCCATTGGGCCGTTGAGGTCAGAGTTACTGCTACCGACACTAAAAAAACAAAAGAAAAATAAGATAATTACAACAGTTAATTTTTTTACTTAAGTACCTAGATCCTGGCTTCGGATGAGCAGAGCCATTGCTTTCTTCCAGCAACGAAGTTCCGTTACCCTGAGATTCCATCCTATTATTTGATCTTAAAGTTCGTCTTCTAGGGTTACTTGACAACTCACTAATACCGTTGTGGTTCGGGTGCTGGTTGCCCGGAAGCAAATGCGAATTGTTTTCGGTATTTACATTTGAATCACACTTAACTCTGGAAGGGACATTTTACAGTTAACATCCAATCAGCGACTAAAATAAACTGCGTTTACTTGATGCTCGAAGAGTCTACTATGGGCATTCTTGCTGGGGCTGTGAGAAACTGACTAGGCCCCTTCTCCACCGTATAGAGTAGTAAATCGTTAACGTTAAAGTCAAAATATAGGCGCAATCCATCAACTACTTCTCTGCATAAAGTGATTCTGAAGCAAAAATGTATTTGTTATGTGTAACTGTAGTATAACTAACTATAAATCCAGTGGAAATTATCGGCTTACTTCCGCTGAATGTCTTCTGTACTGAGTTTAGGCTCCTTAGCCTGAAAGGTATTCCGGAAGCGCCTGCTTGTTTTTTCATTAAGCCCACAAAACTGGTTCGTAGCGAAATGCCTATAATAAGACTCCAGAATTGACACCACATTGGGTTCAGCAGGTAATTTTAATCGCTGAAAACGACAGTTGGTTATACACCAGATTGAAACCTGAGGTTTATCAGAACTCACCCTATTCTTCACATTGATCAAATAATAATCAGCTTCCAAAATTTCCCTTAACTCAGGCACTATCTCAATATCAATTTCATCTTCCAAAGAAGAGTATTCATCAGAGCTACTGCTCATTTCCGGATTTTCATCAGTATCAATTTGAGCCGGACTGCCTGAACTACCGTCTTCAGATGATCCCCCAGTAGGTCGGTCAATCGGCTTTGGCTGCGTGTGCTTTTTCCGTTCCTTTCGGTATAAATACGCTCCACTGAAAAATAATATGGACAGGTTTAGATCACTCAAGGATATCCTGGTTTTACATACTTTGTGGCTAAATTCAATAGTTTTACAACAGGGGAGCTACAAGTTAGCTCAAGATCCTTATCAATTACATCTATGAATGTAAATTAAACATAGAAACATAGAGAGTGGAGAGCCACAGAAACAACAGAAGAACAAGGAACTTTACGAGAAACTTTCTCCTAAAGTTAAAGAACCAATTGTAATTGTTTGGAAACCAAAAGCTCGTTTTGATATTAATCGCAGCCGAAAGCTTTTGATCAGATATTGATATCTGATAATGTTATGATGAAATTGTTTTCGACATGAAAAATTGGGGGTGCACGTGAACATTTGCCCTTATCAAAGAACAGCTACTGATTATCATCAAATATCAACTAAATAAGTTCCCTCTCCTATTGCGGTTTTATTCCATCTTTTGCAATAAACAATTCCGAGCTGACAAACAAAGAGAAGCTCAGTCAGTGAAACTTCTTCACTTGATTTTCATCTGCACACCGCAAATCGATGGGAAAAGCAGTATGTATAAGCTAAACCAGGGACGGATCCTTCTGTCTTCTGTTGTCTATGAAATTAGAAAAATTAACGTCGTTTTGTGCAAGAGTGGCGCAAGATTATTGCAAAATTTCATGTTTTCCGTCCCGTTTTGCATGTTTCTCGGAAGCAAAATGAGCAAGAACG